GTTGTTTGTCCTTATGTTCCCTTCTCAAGGCTTTGTAAAGTTATGATCACTTATCGGCCCAGGGGTCCGTTTCTCAAAAGCCCCGATATATTAACGGGCCGGTAAAGCTGTTGTTGTTTACATGCAAGATAGATGAGGTTTCAATAGTTTTGCGTCTAACATGATAACAATCAATTAGGGAAACAAAATGGAGTTGTTTGCTAGCCAGGACCCGCGCCCTTATTCTTTATATTTCGATTTGAATATTTGATTTCGGGCCCGAAAAGTTACCGGGGCTTTCGAGAAACGGGCCCCAGGTTTTCTTTAATTTGCCAAACGGATAGCGCCAGCATAAATGACACTAGCATATGAAAATCATTGAAAGGCTAAGGTACGAATTTTTGGACTTTGTTATGTTGGCAAAATCAAGTCCAAAAACATTACTTTGTTGCCCATCCTATGTTCTGCTTGGAGGTGCTTTTTTTTTTCTCAAGTGTCTCAGTTTTTTTAACCCTTTAATTTCTAATATTGGATTAAGTATTATATATAATTCACCATTAACTTCAAATTTCTTTTTGAAATTCCTCAGAAATAAAGTTTGTTCACCATTTACAAAACGTTTCCGGAAAATCAGTAAATGAAAGTAAATAAATGAATAAGTTTTATAATGTAGTTAACAGAAATGTGCATTTTGCCCTTTTTTGTGGAATAATTGTTAAATATATTGTAGCTAATGAAGTCATCTATTTTTTTAGGTTTGTTTTCGTGAAAGAGGATGTTTTGTTAAGACAGGAGCTTTTAAACACGTACGCACCTAAAATAGGCACGTCTGTACTTAACATAATTCCGAAAGGTCAAGAAAAAATGAAAAGGAAAAAAAAAAGGAAACATAAGAGAAACTAGTGAGGTAAGTGATGGAAGGAGACCATTGGTAAAATATTAATTTTGTTTGATGTCCAAGCCACATTATCGGCGGGCTGAATGTTGACGCTGGTGTAGGCAAAATGAAGCGGGATATTAATCAGACAATCAAACAGCGCCTGGGAGGTAAATTCCGAATTCCGACTTGCAACTTGCAACTTCCAACCAACTTCCAACTTTGTCCTCGAGTTGTTTGTCCTTATGTTCCCTTCTCAAGGCTTTGTAAAGTTATGATCACTTATCGGCCCAGGGGTCCGTTTCTCAAAAGCCCCGATATGTTAACGGGCCGGTAAAGCTGTTGTTGTTTACATGCAAGATAGAGGTTTCAAAAGTTTTGCATCTAACATGATAACAATCAATTTCACTGTCAATTAGTAAAACAAAATGGAGTAGTTTGCTAGCCAGGACCCGCGCCCTTATTCTTTATATGTCGATTTGAATATTTGATTTAGAGCTCGAAAAGTTACCGGGACTTTCGATAAACGGGCTCCAGGTTTTCTTTCATTTGCCAAACGGATAACGCCAGCATATGAAAATCATTGAATGAGGCTAAGGTACGAATTTTTGGACTTTGTTATGTTGGCAAAATCCAGTCTAAAAACATTACTTTGTTGCCCATCCTATGTTCTGCTTGGAGGTGCTTTTTTTTTTCTCAAGTGTCTCAGTTTTTTTTAACCCTTTAATTTCTAATATTGGTTAAGTATTTTATATAATTCACCATTAACTTCGAATTTCTTTTTGAAATTCCTCAGAAATAAAGTTTGTTCACCATTTACAAAACGTTTCCGGAAAATCAGTTGGAAAGTAAATGAAATACCAGCTAAATGAATAAGTTTTATAATGTAGTTAACAGAAATGCGCGTTTTGCCCTTTTGAATCTTAGTTTGGCTTAAATGAAGATCGGCTTCTGAATGAGTCGTCCTATATTCAATTCGACTCGGCTCATGTGAAAGTATGGCGTCTCAACCGGGCCTTAGAGAGGCAGCCTTTGGTAGCGGCGTCCAGGCATATTACTAAGGGAAAAGCCTCTCACAAAACAAAAACAAAAATAATAATAAAAAATAATAAAATGCCAATTCCAATTCCTTTTTCCAACGAGGCAGGAAGACTAAAAACGAAAGTAATCAACTGCTCCTGGGGGCGAGCTCATGGATGAATTGAATTAGTGTAGACAAAACATCCCAGTTTAAGATTCAGCTGTTTTAAATTGCTTGGGCACTGTAACAGACTCACTTTTCTCTTTCGTTTTTTTTTAATGTCTTTCATGACTTTCTGTGTATTGATATACTTGATAGATCATGTTTACATTTTTTAATGATTTGATTTTTAGCAGGTTTTTTTTTGTCATACGGTTTTTAGCATTTGGTTTTTGGCATCTGTTTTTGCCATATAGTGTTAAGCATTTCGTCGGTAACTTTTTGGCATCTCTATAGCACTCACGCTTTCCACCAAGGACTAGGGAGATTCCCTTCCTTGCCCGAGGCTGTACGTGTTGTCAGTCGAAGTATCGGATTGCATGTTCCCCTGAATATTCTAGAACTTATTAAAGCGTACCATTTCTGCTTAACGCAAACATCACTTTAAACTTATTAATTTAACGCTTTTTAGTTGTAAAATAATTTGCTTTCTCATGTGACTGCCAAACACGAAATCCCATCGTCAAAGTTAGGCTGCGATAGCTCTTTCACACCCCTGTCGATCGCATCGTCTCCATCAACCTGATAAAGTAAACGTGCACAGTTCGTCCTAATATACAAAAATGATCCACACTTATTTCAACGTCCTTTTAACAACTCCAAGTTCATTTCTTGCCGATGATCATTGTCAGTGTTCTTTTGAATATTTCATTCCATACAAAACCTATCTTCGGCTAGGCTGGCTACTCTATGATGTGTCGGGAAAATATGTAAGCCTTACTACTGTAGTACCCTCTAGAATATGCCAAATATATGCGTAAAAGGCACTTAGAACAAAAGTAATACTAAGTAAGGGAGCTAAGTAAAGTTTTTAGTCTGACTTTAATGAATAAATTAATAAGAACCGAGTGAGTGAGTGACTGAGTGAGTGAATATAGTTTAGTATAGTATATCTTTATTGCGCCTTACTCTCCAAAGGGAGGCATCGGTCTAGTTACAATAAAGATTTTTACAACTACAACAAATTTTAAAAAGAAAGAATTATGAACGGAAACAACAAAATTATACGGCATATACCATTTCGATAGTAATTATACTATAATTTAATTACCTAATCAATTGGATTTTTGACTCAGGAAGTGTTTCTGTTTTTTAAACATTAGATGGCCATATTTGGCTATAATTTGTGAAGTATTGTCATTGTCTAATCTGAGTAAATATAACGTTCTATCACGATCTGTTAAATTAATGAAGTTTGTCATCCATGGGCTAAAAACCGGATGTCCTTTGTCGATGGCCGAAAGAAACCACTGAAGAAAACCGGAAAATTTATTTTCCCGTGACATCATATTAATGAGAATAGTTAGGCACTATTAAAAAGTTATTACAAGTGTCATTCACTACAAACTGTGACCTTGAAGAAGACTCTTACTCAGAGTTTTCGTCACAACCAAAAGGATGCAGGCTTCCAGAGCTGAACCCAACAATGGACATCCTTATGATCACCTACAGTTTTTCACTATCCAGTCTTCACCGTCCGAAGACCCAGCAGGAAACCAAATTTACCATGAAAACGATGAAAGAAGACGACAACAACCTACGAAAAATATTGCTATAAGTCGTCATGTCTTATCCGCTATGATAGCTGTTCTGGCCTTATCCTTCTTGACAATGGTTGCTACATTGATTTTAACTATAAGAATGATGCCTACAGGAGCAAGTGAAACTAAAGGTAACTTTTAGATACTAATTTGAAGTGATTTTATGTAACTCTGGCAGGCTCAAAGTTTGAAAATTAGATTCGAGGTTTACCCTTATACCACGGTACCTCGATTTCGCTGATTCTTGGTGTGTAGTCTTGAAATGGTGTCCTAAAACTGAATTGATATTGATTTATTCGATTTGAATTCTCTTATCTTTACTTTGAAACATATCGAGAGGAGTCTTCGAGGAACCGTAGTACTCCCTCTTAAGGCATTAATTCAGGGGCACCCAACGAGGATATAGTTCAAAACCACTTAACATAGCATTTTTGAACGTATTTTAGTATTTAAACGGTAGATATAGGCATATTTTTATCCCCTAAAAACTTTTCATCTGTTCGGATTTCCTAGCTGAAAGTCTAGTGATCCTAAAATGATAGGTATCAAAACTTAGGCTTCCGAAAATTCTAGGTGGCCTTTTTTAGGGTAAAAATCCGTTAAAAAAGAGTAATTATACCATTTTGTATATGTTCGAAAATCCTAGCAGAGGCAGGCAAGCAAGAAATTTCACAACAAATGTTCCGAAAATTCTAGATTTCAAATCGTCTTCCGAACAGATATTTTCTGAAAATTGCTGTTGGATGCCCCTGTTAATTGAGGCTTATTCGCTGAAAATAATCTAATCATTACTGATACAGCTGGAAAAGACTATCCTGCACTTCTGATCTACTAACATTAGCCTGAAAACAGTTAAGTCTATCATACGAACGACTTAAACGCCAAACAGCATATTTTAGGTACTTAGAATGTATCACCCAATGTAAGGTAATCCGGATTCTGGAATCCGGGAAATTTTTGCGTTTGGAATCCGAAATAGGAATTCATAGCGGATGAGGAAGCGTAATTGGTAGTTGAGAGCTTGCTCGCAGGCTATGTACGTAATTGGCAATATAATTAACAAAACGAAATGGACAGCCATCAATGACACAGCCCCTTTTTTACGCTCTTCTCTCTTGCCGGTTTAAACTTCCCGCGTCCCTCCATAACTCGTTTGACCCTCAAGATAAGCATGAACCAGTTCTTCCTTAATTATACCAGGGTGTTTCCCCTGTAGCAAATCCAAAAAGTGCTTCTTCCTCTACCATACATGTTGGTATTAGAAGCTTCAATGTAAACTGATTATTTATCTGTTACACAGGCATGGCTGAGGAGATACAACAGTTGATCGAGTTAAGTCATAAAATAATAGCTTCAAAGGCAAATGAAACTGAAAGAGAACCTAGAGTGTTTGATAAAGGTAGGGTGAAGCCAACTTGCAGAAAGGAAAGAGTAGAGGTGTAACCAAACTGATCACTCCTTTTCCGAAACCATATTTATCTTGAAGAGAAAATTAACTTTATGTAGTAATAGTCATTGATATAGATTGCAAGTTCTATGAAGTTCTGTGAAGGCATGAGTGTCTTAATTGCTTGATACTAGGAGAACCCGAGGTGGTCCCGATACGTTTCATTAGAAAGGGGTTGTATCATGAGAATTCTACCCTACAATCATAGAAAAAAGTCTTGGGACAAGTTTGATCTTCTAACACTTTTTTACACACACACGCATCCCCCCCCCGAACACACACACACACACACACACACACACACACACACACACACACACACACACACACACACACACACACACACACACACACACACACACACACACACACACCAAACAAACAGTCGCTCGCGAATGCACCTAGACTTGCTCAGCCCCTCCCACATACCTACAATGTGGGCCATTCTAAACCAACGCATGTTGGAAACGGTAGCATTGCTTGTTCAAACTTCAGTTGTAAAATATTTACACTAGAAATAGGTGGCTCGCAAACCCTCGAGGAAACTAAGTGTGCCACTCAAGTTAAACTTGCTTGACTTGGTTGGAGATATTTACTGAGCCTAGCTCGTGTTTCTGCATCGCGGGAGTTAGGAACCTTGGCTACGCGAGGGCCTTCCATTCTCTCTCCGCGGGGAGTAATTCATGACCTAACCTTATCGTCCTAGGGAGTTTTGGATACAATTGTAGAATTAAACTACTTACACTCGTTGATCCAAAAATGACCCCTCCTACCTCTAAACGTAAGCGTGCGGGAAGCGCAAGAAATTGAATTTGACTTAATTCTGATTGACCTGAATGATGGATAAGTTGCAGTGTTATTGGTCGTCTGTCGGTTATTGGCTGTGAGGACTCTAATTTCGATCCATCTTTTGTCACAGTTACAACGGTCGTTTTATTGTTAGTCAAATTTTCAGTTGTCCATTCACTCTACTGAAGCCAGTCTTGCTTGAGTCCGTTGATAAGTCGTTTTGAAGGTGCCGGTAACTTGTGACTACGATTCAGTCGCGCTTGTTCCCAGTTGGTAAATCAGCTTTTTAAAGTGAATCGTTGATAGCAGTCTGAGAAATACGTAAGGCAGGTCGTAGAGTCAGTGTCGATTTGGTGGTTCGTCTGTAACTGGTGTTCAACAATGTCATCATAGCCATAAACATCATGGCTTAACTGACAGATGAACAACAACATCACGACTTAATTGACCAGCCAGATCGATAAACTACGTCTATAACTAGAAATACGTGTATCGCAGAACTTCGAGAGGCTCAGGCTCATAAAATGACAGGGATGGGAGGGCGGGAGAGAATTGGTGAAATGTGTAGCTGAGGAGGGCGGGATTCAACACTGGCTCCAATATGACTAATATTGGAAGGTGAGATTTACTTAATCTCCTTTTGGTTGGAGTAAATTTGGACCCAGTTCTTTGGCTAAAAGGATCTTCTTTGATTTAAATGGGATTGCTGTTGTCGAGGAAAGGTAGCCAATGTTGCATTAGTCCCGTGTTCACCCCATTTGACCCTTTTACATGTGTAGTTATAGTAAAAGGAAATGGGTGATAGTGAATAACTGCAGGCTAATATTCAGTTGCATTTGCTTAATATTTGGGTTAGATGCCATCTCTAATAATAAGTGTAATTATAATTCACTATTTGTGAAGTGTGTCAGTAGTAGTGAGTGGATGAAATGGTAGGAGATTATGCTGCTGTGAAAACAACAAGTAAATGCTGGTAATTGAAGGAAAAATATATTATATTGTTAAGTGAACTACGGCAATGAGAGTGTTTGCACTTGTTTTAGCTCATAATCACACTTGACAACTAATTGTTTTGTGAGTAACAGGAAGGTGTAAACATAATCACTGAAATAGAAATTACATGTAGCAATGTCTTAAGGGTGCAGTTCATGAGAATTATGAAAGTGATCATGACTATTGAACGCAAGAGTGAATTATGAAATGTCCACGTACAAGTCATGTTGAAGGTGATCAGTTTCTCAATTGCCAACATTCATGAGCTTGTTGAGACATGGTTGCCAGAGGCATAGGTTTTGAAATTCCTAAACTGATCATGACAGCCACATGTACACTTTCCTGACCAAATGAATTGACAATTTGTGCAGACAATGGCTTCTAAACTCCGGTCGAAACCTCGTGTACTGGACACAAATGACGTAAAACAAAACGCTTCTTTGTTGTCTGTTCAGGGAAAAATCTGCTTGGTATTGTTTCATGGTTTTTGTTCTTTTGTTTTACGTCATCTATGTCGGGTACACGAAGTAAATGACCAAACTCCCATCAACCAACCGGCCATCCTCTCCACCCATTTATTACATGAATTTATCGTGAATGTAAAGTGTAGAATGGATAGATCTTATAGGAAACCCTATATCTGCTTGTCGTTTAATTTCATGAAACAATATTCTGCCAATGGAACATGTTTAACTTCTGTGAGTATGTCTCGTCCCTCTGACTTCTTTGAAAGAGTTAAATTTTCCCTGACTCATATTGTCATATATGTCGCACACTAATATTCTGAGGAGATCGGAAATACACATGTTATTTTGATTTCTCAATCTCACAAGCTCATTTAAGTTTTACATCCCCTTATGACTACCACTCACTACAGTGTGTACTCACCCCACCCCTCCCCATCGAACGCACTCCCCAAATTGGCAATTATTACTAGTATAAACCTATTGCTTTTTTTGCTCTTCTCGTTGCCGTCGCCGTCTCCGTCGTCGTTGCTCAAGCTCCCTATTGTTGTGATCTGGTAATTTTGCTACCATAGTAACGTGACGTCACACGTCTCCTCTCTATTTTAAGTAATTTTAAGGTCATCTTTCCTGAACAGCCAATAGGAACTGTGCTGAGCTATACAAAGCTGGCAAAACAATCAGCGGTGTGTACACAATCGACCCTGATGGTGAAGGTGCCTTTGATGTGTTCTGTGATCAAAAAACAACCCGGGGGGTGGACAGTGTTTCAGAAGAGACTGGACGGCTCGGTTTATTTCTACCGCTCCTGGGATGACTACAAAAATGGGTTCGGTGACCTGAATGGCGAGTTCTGGCTTGGATTGGACAAGATTTACCGCCTGACGGAAAAGAAACACAACCGCCTTCGAGTTGATCTGGAGGACTTTACATTCAGCACTGCTTACGCTGAATATGACATATTTGAAGTTACAAACGAAACGACTAAATACAAGCTCAGTCTAGGAATGTACTCAGGTATGGTGCTTGGAATGTATTTAATTTTGATGTTTAGTATTTTGTCTTCGTGTCTTAATTATTCGTTCAAAGCTTGTTTGTTGGCGGTTTCTTGACTTCTTGCAAACTTGAAAACTCTAGGAAGTTTCAAAAGGAGCTCAGTTACTTTTCCAAACGTAGCTCCCCTCTTGTACTTCAATACTAGATTACATTCAGGTATTCTACTCCAAACATTCCTGGTAAAATGTCCTTGTATGACTGCAGGAACTGCTGGTGACTCATTATCGGAGCATCGTGGCCATCCGTTTACCACTAAAGACCGAGATCATGATGAAAATGCCAAATTCAACTGCGCTGCGTACTTCAAAGGAGCCTGGTGGTACACTAATTGCCATGCTTCAAACCTGAATGGTTTGTACTACAACGGTTCACATGCACATAAAGGTCAAGGTATCATCTGGCATACATGGAAAGGAAATCAATACTCTGTCAAGAGAGCTGAGATGAAAATCAGACCGGCCAACTTTTAGGACTTTTACGGTACCCTAGGACGTCTTGTTTCCGTATTAGGTTCCTAGTAACAAACAAAATTTCATGGTAAAATAGCGCATTTACTCGAATAAGCGCCCCCCGATTTATTGCGGCTCTCAAATAATTTAAAGCGCCGCATTTGGGACAAAAATAGTTAATAAGCGCCACCCCCAAATACGCGGCGCGACACCAATGCAATCAAAACCAAAAGACGTTTCTGTTATAAAATAAAATAATATCGGTTACTGAAAAGAAACAGTTCTTTGTCGCCCCCAACTTTAAAATAAGAGCAGCCTCGAATAAGCACCGCATTTGAGACATGAAAATTTTAATAAGCACCGTGGCGCTTATTCGAGTAAATACAGTAATGTCAAAGGAATCGGTGATTATAAAACAGCTTTAACCCATTTTCATTGCCATCGGCATAGTAACACATCAGCATGCGACGTCCACTAATGTAGGTTCATCTCGATTAGGGGTAGAAATTGCAAATTAAAGTCTTTCTGGGGGCGTTTCGGGCAGAAAGTCAATGTTTAGAAACCCCAAAAAGGTATCACTAAGCGTAGCGAAATACCTCTAATAGGGGCTAACAAATGCCGTCATACTGTGTTAGAGTATGGCCTCCTTTTGAGGTCAAATACAGTTTGAGCCGCGCCTAGATTGGTCTCCATTAGGGGGCTTAATTCTAATTTCCCGACGAGCACGCGCGTCATTTTTACAGGAGAGCACCCCCTCCCCGTTTCGTTTGTTTACTATTCACATTTTTAAAAAAAGGTTTAAACAGTGCTCAAAATCTTCAGAAACATGTTCGCCGACTTTTTCCGTATTTTGACTGGTAATGACAATTTTGCCTTGACAAACGACTTTCTATGATTTCGTGTTGAGTCGAGTTTAAGATTACTCGTATCGTATAGGCGAATCTTTGCTGACGTCATTGTTTACATTTTTCCTCATTAGCATACGACTTAACTCAAAGAAACCGTGGCTGTATATACGAACTAAATTCAAAAGTTAAAAGAGCTGATTAGCTTAAACAATTTGTGCAATTTTCAGCTTATTAAAAGCAATATTGAAGGAAATCAGTGAGAGGCATCTAAAACTGCGAATTGCTGGATGGCAAAAACGTTAATGAGCCATACATTCTTTGTAAAATTTCGAGTTTTTAAAAGAGAATCTTTCCGAAACCATTCGGTATATCGGGCTCAAATTTTCACATATAACTGGAATTGTTGTGCTCTTTCAGTATTCTGGGGTTTTATTTTATTAACTTCATCAGAGTATTCTGGGGTTTTATTCTATTAACTTCATCAGATAATGACAAAGATTCGCCTATTAGCGACAACCGTAAAGCAGCAGTTCAAGCTGCTTATTTCTCTATAAAATATTCATACCGTAACGTTCATTTGTTTTAAGGGCGACAAGGTGAGAAAATTATAGGCTGAAAAGGCTGAAAAAGCCACAGTGGATGCTGAAGTTGTCGTCTCTTTGGAGCTCAAGAAAAAGTTGGCCATCGCTGAAGGAAACGATCCTAACGCGTTAGAAAATAAGGGGAAAAAGAAAGGGTCAAAGACCTAAAATAGAGGCTCTTGTAAATTTCACTGTCATTTTAAAAAACATTGAAAACATTTGGAGAACACTCAGTCATCCAGTCTTTTGATACAGTGCCGATGAGGGAAATCGAGAGAACAACAACAACAACAACAGCAGTGATGAAGCGCTAGCTCACCTTAAATATGATACGCTGGGGCTTAGACGGGAGATTCACGTGTTAAACCTTGTGAAGAAATGTCTAAATAAGCGCTGCCCGCAATTTTTAATGGACTACTTTTATTTTAATAGAGATATCGTACATTGAAAAGCGCGCCAAAGTAATCATCTCCGTCTTTCCTCCATCAAATTAGAATGTACGAAAAAAGCTTTTTATTATCATGGACGTGACGTTTTTAATCGTAATTTGTAGTTTTTATTAATAGTTTGTAATAATTTTTATCCTTTTTTAGGATATTTTTCTATTAGCTTAGTTAGGACTAGTTTTAAGTATTTTTAACATATTTTTATCGTTCTTTTTTATCTAGGGCCTCTAAGGATATCAGTTTTTGTAACTGTAGGAGTTACCCTAGCTAAATAAATGTATCTTCTTCTTCGTTCTCTGTCTGATAGAAAAATGCATTGGTCTAACCCCAAAATCGAACGCAGAAGCAGTTTAGTCCAGTAGCCGAGGTCGGAAAATTGTCGTTTCGTTCAACCCACGGGTCAGAAAAGGTCTGATACCGGATTTTGGTAGATCAAGTCCTCCTGATTATTGCCTAATAATTTGTAAGGTCAATTTGTGGTATAGGTTTCGAGTAAATGGCGATCTTATTTTACACACTTTACTGTCCAGTATGAAAACGAGGCTGGAACCTGAATCACCATTTACCTCCTAATTCTTTCTTAGAAAATCCCTAAAAAATGGTAACTAACTTAATGTTCAACGACGTTGAGCTCTTTCTCAGTTGTGGTTAATATAGAATACTCTTGTAAGGTTTTTCACAAGCAGCCATCTTGGTGCGCGAGTTCGCATGAAATGAGGGCCAACTCATAGCACAAACCTTCCTTCAAATTGATTTGTTGGGTGTTAATGTGTAGCCGCCCAAAGAGGTCTTTGTCAGTGTTATACAGTATTGCAGCCTTAATGCAGCCTTAACATTCTCTCGGACATGGTACTAAATGTATTTACCTTCAAGCTTGGAACAGGATCCCAAAGATTTACAGTATTGGTGTTCAAAGATTTTCGTCTGTTCTCGACGTTTTTCATTACTGCTAACAAGGCCCTCTGCAACATTTGAAGTCAGTTCTACGCCGGTAGCAAAGTTAACTAGAGACTCCATTTCTTGGACGAAAGGGTTACTCAATAAACCAGACAAGGGAAAAATAGTCAACAAGCTTCCTGACGTCTTCTTAATCACGCTTCAATCTCTTTAGTGCGGCCTTCTTGTGTTGTTACGTGGTCATTTTCTGTCAGAACCACACATCTTTTTCACAGCTATGAGGCTCTTTGGTGAATAGTTAGAAACAACCATTCTAGCGATTTTGGACTTTGAGATACCGTAAAATTCCGAAAATAAGCCCTGGGGCTTATATTTTTCAAAGACCCTTTTTGAGGGGCTTATATACGGAGGGGCTTATCTACGGAGGGAAATTTGCGTTTCAAAATCGATTGGGCTAGCCTTATAGTTGGAAGTAAAGTTATCGTTTTTACTTTGTTTTACTTTGTATTTGATGGCAATTTTCAAAGTACAAGCCCCCGGGGGGTTTATATAAGGAGGGGCAATTTAACGGACGGTTTTTTGCGTTACCGGTTTGGGGGGCTTATATTTGGAGGGGCTTATACATGGAGGGGCTTATTTTCGGAATTTTACGGTATGCCAACACTCCCAGCCTTTGACTTCGAGTCGGCTACGTAGATTGCTCCAGGGTTGTGTCAGCTGAGACAGGAGAAAATGCCTGATCGTTGCGGCTAAAGGAGTGATTTTCAGCAACAAATTCCTTATACACTTTTGAGTGTTGTGACTCCAGTTGCTTCATATACCAGCAAGGTAAACTGGTAGCCATCGTGCATAGTTACAGGTCTGTCCAATGAGAAAAAATGCGGCGTCGTAATTGCAAGGGCAGATATATTAGAAGCAAGTGCCAATTTGTATGTTCGTTCCGCTTTGATGAATCGTGAAAATGTACTAGCCATGCATGAAACCATACTGCCAACAAATTGCAAACATCTTTGACGGGGCTTTTGCGTGCGATTTGGTGACTTCAAACAGAGATGCCAGTACCGTCAAGCTCTTTCTTTTAGTTGGTTAACTCTCTCGATACACTTCCCTCCTTCTATACGACCTCAACCTAATCAGCAATATTTTGAGAGCGACCCTCTTCTCAGGAGTCAACACTTGTCTTCTTTTCATGCTTTGGAACAGCCTACGCTCCTGAAGCAATCCATAAATGCTGTATTTTTCTCTTTTGAGTACGAAAATAGACAATTTCACGTAATAACATGTAGCTTTTTTCTCAACGATCTCTAATTCCTACAAAAAAAAAAAAAAAAAAACTCTCCGTCTGTCACGTTCACAGAGCGATTTTCTATATGTCAAGTGCTATAAAAATGTCAAAAATGTTTTTTTAATCTATCCGTTACTTGCAAAAAGTTAATAAAGGAAAACAGCTAATGCTAAACAAAGTACAGATATTTAAACTGGTTCTTTGAAAGAAAAAAGAAAAGCAATCAAAGCGCGATTTTCCTTTATTTCAAGCAAATAATATGTCCTTGTGCGAGTAACGCGATCAGTCACGTGACATTGTTGACTCGAAAATATATAATCATCTCTTTTGTTACATTGAACATTGAGTAAGTTACCTTTTTTTTTTTTTAGCGATTTTTAACAAAGAATTAGCAAGTAAATGGTGATTCAGGTATCAGGCTCGTTTTCATGCTGGACCGCTAGGTATGTGGCATAAAAACGCCATTTACTAGAAACCTATACCACAAATCGACCTTACAAATTATTAGGCAATGATCAGTAGGTCATGTTCGACCAAAATCCGGTATCAAACCTTTTCCGACCCTTGGGTTGAACGAATTCTAAAGAACAATTTTCCTACCTCGGCTACTGGACTAAACGGCCTGCTACATTTAACAATTATTCTTTGAAATCGAGGTGAATAGTGGCAAAATATTTACCGAGACGCGAAAGCGGCGAGGTAAATATTCCCAAAGCCACTATTCACCGAGATTGAAAAGAATAATTGTTTTAGTATATACACATGAAGTGATCTCAACAAAATCAGAGAGGAAACCATTCAAAAGTACGATTTGATTGACAGATCAAATCACGCGTAAGTTTAAAAATAGATCTTTGCAGAAATTTCAAACATGGCAATTCACAAGTTTATCATTTCGCAAACAACAGCGTAATGGCTTAAATGGAACCGCTAAAAGTTTGAACTGTTTCCTTACCTGAGAAGA